TCGGGAGTGTTTTTACTGTCATGAGCAAGGACACCTCATCGCTGCCTGCCCTTCTCTTAAAAGGAAGGAGCACAGTATGAATGCCAAAACACCCTCACCAATAGGGCTCATCCACACTTCACCCCACAAAAAGTTGAATCTGGTTAATGCTCAAAAAGACCACATTGACGAGGCTTTTAGGCCATTTGTGTCACAGGGTTTTGTTTCTCTGGTGGGTGAGGAAAAACAAATCCCTATCACTATCCTGCGGGATACTGGAGCCAAACAATCACTGATCCGTGATGGTGTTTTACCTCTCTCAGCTGAGACCTATTGTGGTGCAGACGTGTTGGCATGGGGAGTCAAAATGTGTGCAGTGCGGGCGCCGTTGCACTTCATTCAGTTGTTCTCCAGATTTGTGTCCGGGAAATTTAGAATTGCTATGCGCCCTCAGTTGCCGATAGCCGGTATAGACTTAATCCTCGGTAACGATTTGGCTGGCGGTAAAGTTTTCCCATCTCCCGAGGTGATCGAACATCCGATTGCGGATGAATGCGTTCCCGACACTGGGGTGCCTGACTTGACCCCGTTGTTTCCTGTTTGTGTTGTAACCCGTGCTCAAGCACAAAAGCTTGGCGACTTGGTGGATCTTAGCGACTCTTTCATGAGCGGCTCTGATCCAACAAGCTCCCATCACGATTGTAGAGAAAATGCACCTATCTGTGTGGAGCTTCAGCCTGATTATCAAAACCTAACCCTTGCTGTAGATAAAGAGCAGCTGATCAGAGCACAGAAAGCTGACTCTAGCTTAACCTCTTGCTTTTCTCTTGCAGAAAGCCAATCATGTGAAAAGTCTGTGTCCTACCTGGTTGAGGATGGTGTTCTTCTGCGGCACTGGTCTCCAAGCTCTGGTAGTACGCACGAGTCAGTGTCCCAAATTGTAGTGCCACAGGCATTCCGATCTCAGGTCTTAAGTTTGGCCCATGACCATTGCATGTCCGGCCACTTAGGCATAAGGAAAACGTACAATCGTGTGCTTCGTTATTTCTTCTGGCCTGGACTTAAATCAGATGTGGTAAAATTCTGTCGATCGTGCCACACCTGTCAGGTCTCAGGTAAACCGAATCAGGTGATTCCTCCTGCTCCATTAAGGCCCATTCCTGTCGTCGGAGAACCTTTTGAGCACGTTATTGTTGACTGTGTTGGTCCTTTACCTAAAACAAAGTCCGGTAACCAGTATGTCCTCACCATTATGTGTTCTGCCACTCGTTACCCTGAAGCCATTCCGTTGCGCTCATTGAAGGCCCGTGTCATTGTGAAAGCACTTGTTAAGTTTTTCTCCACTTTTGGTCTTCCTAAACGCATCCAAAGTGACCAGGGATCAAACTTTATGTCCAAAATCTTCGCCCAGGTTATGGCAGAGTTACATGTGGCACACAATACCTCCAGCGCTTACCATCCAGAAAGCCAGGGCGCATTAGAGAGATTTCACCAAACTCTAAAAGGCATGCTGCGCAAGTTTTGCACTGAGTCAAACAGTGAGTGGGATGAGGGGTTGCCGCTGTTGTTGTTTGCTGTGAGAGAAACGTCACAGGAATCCTTAGGTTTTAGCCCGGCTGATCTAGTTTTCGGTCACACTGTGCGAGGCCCATTACGCCTACTGAGAGAGAAGTGGCTCTCAGGTACCACTAGTCCTAGTGACAATATTCTGGACTACGTTAGTTCGTTCAGGGAGAGGCTACATCATGCGTGTGATGTTGCCCGTGACACACTCTCAAGTGCCCAGACAAAAATGAAAGTTACTTATGACAAAAAGTCTGTGGTGCGTACCTTTCAGTCCGGTGAGCGCGTACTAGTTCTGTTACCTGTCGTTGGTTCTGGTTTGCAAGCAAAGTTTTCTGGTCCTTATGTGGTCGATCGTAAACTTAGTGACACGGATTATGTAATCCGGACCCCTGATCGTAGAAGGAAAACTCGTGTGTGTCATGTCAACATGCTTAAAACCTATGTTGACCGTAATAATTCTGTTAGTTCACCCCTCGTGGTTGCACCTATGGCCTTAGTGTCAGTCGTTACATACAGTCCCAGTGATGATGGGCTGGATGACCGGCGTAGTTCTGTTTCCAGTGTGCGCCTTAGAAACTCTGAAATATTGACAGACTTAGACACACATTTGGTGCATCTGTCTGATTCTGCTAGGACTGATGTTAGTGAGCTCATTAAGGCTCATCCAACTCTTTTCGGGGACATTCCCATGCAGACCAATGTGCTAAGTCATGATGTTGATGTAGGCGATCATCAACCCATAAAACAGCATGCATATCGTGTCAATCCAACAAAACGTGCATTAATGCAGCAGGAGGTAAAGTACCTCCTTGACCACGGTTTTGCTGTCCCCAGTAGTAGTTCCTGGAGTTCCCCTTCACTGCTGGTCCCCAAACCTGACCAGACCCCACGTTTTTGCGATTATCGAAAAGTCAATGCTGTTACCAAACCAGATTCTTTTCCACTTCCACGCATGGATGACTGTGTGGATCGAGTAGGGTCAGCAAAATATGTCACCAAATTGGACCTACTAAAAGGCTACTGGCAGGTCCCACTTACTCAACGCGCCTCTGACATAAGTGCCTTCGTCACTCCGGATCATTTCCTCCAGTATACAGTCATGCCATTCGGTCTGAGAAATGCCCCTGCAACTTTCCAGCGGTTGATGAATACAGTCCTATGTGGGGTTGCAAATTGTGAAGTTTATTTGGATGACATCGTGGCCTATTCGTCAACTTGGTCTGATCACATGAGGACCCTCAGAGTGATTTTTGAACGCTTGTGCGCTGCTTCCCTTACACTCAATCTGGCTAAATGTGAGTTCGGGAAGGCTGTTGTTACCTACTTAGGTAAACAAGTAGGTCAAGGTCGTGTCTGCCCAGTTACTGCCAAAGTACAGGCAATCTTAGATTTCCCAGCTCCTCAGACACGTCGTGAGCTCCGTCGTTTTCTGGGGATGGCTGGGTACTACCGTGCGTTCTGCAAAAACTTTGCTGATGTGGTAGCTCCTTTAACCAGTTTGGCAAGTCCCAAAACTCTTTTCCAGTGGTCAGAAGAATGTCAGATGGCTTTCGAGGCTGCCAAAGTTCTCCTCTGCAGTGAGCCTGTGCTCGCCGCCCCAAACTTCACTCGTCCATTTAAGCTGGAAGTAGATGCCAGTGCGCTTGGTGCGGGTGCAGTGCTCCTGCAGGAGGATGTGCGAGGCATTGATCACCCCATTTGCTACTTTTCCAAAAAGTTCAAAAGACACCAGCTGCATTACAGCACCATTGAGAAGGAGGCCTTATCATTACTGTTAGCATTACAACACTTTGAAGTGTACCTTGGGTCTAGCCATGTGCCAACCATCGTCTTCTCTGACCACAACCCCCTGGTGTTCTTGACTCGAATGCAAAATAGCAACCAGCGTCTCATGCGCTGGTCCCTATTACTGCAGGACTTTAATATTGAGGTTCGTTACAAAAAGGGTTTAGAAAATGTTATGGCTGATGCTCTCTCTAGGTCTCATTGAATCAAACCTTTTTCTTAAGAGGAAAATGTTTGATCTTGGGTGGGGAGGTGTTATGACCCTGGGGTCATATTTTGTTGTTTATCTCTCCTGGCACTGTCAGCTGTTATCCTCCATTAGAGTGTGTGAGTGTATGCAGGTACTGGAGAACAGGTGGACACACTGGATTGGTCTGGTTGAGCTGATTGGAGCCTCCTGATTGGGCATCTGGATGACAGCAGCCATCTTAAGCCCTACGGACAGGAACTCTGCCCCTCTCTCTGCCATTCCCAACCTGCCTGAGGACTGTGTGCTATGTCTGTGTTTATTGTACATAGTGAACGGTTGTGACTATATTCAACTTAGATTGTAAGTAGTAACGTAGTCCTTCTGATTGTCTTATGACAACCTGGTTTTGTTGGCTTTGCCATTTTTGTTTCTAGGAAGCAATTTCCTTTTGTTGTAGCTATATTGTGTCAGCTACTAGCAGTGAGTAGAGTGAGAAGCCCTTTCTTTTGTTTGCACTGTTTTCTCCTGTTTTTGGACTTAGAAGCCTAGTTTTAGAGCTTTGTCTTTTCTTTACCTTTTGGTTTTGGGTTTAGGAAAGATTTAGGTTTTTTCTTAGTGTTTTGGTTGTTGTTTTGGGCACTGCTCATCTCCGAGGTATAATAAAAACTGCTAAATTGTATTTGTTGTGTACTGGCCTTGTTTGGGAATGGGAAGAGTGGGAGGCCACACATTTATGTTACCTCCAGGACACCCCTAGACCTTGGGACGTAACAGTCAGTGAACTCTTTTAAGTCCCTGCTTAAAACATACTTTTATAGGAGAGCCTTTCCCGATCTTATTTCACTTTATTTTATCCCTTTTATTTTATTCTATTTAACTAATTTTATATTTATCTTAAACGTGTATTGTAGTCTTTTCAATGTTTTCTTGCTTTTATCTTGTATTGTTTTTGTATTATTGTCTTTACACTTGTTAAAGCACTTTGTAACTTGTTTTTGAAAAGTGCCCTAAAAATAATTATTATTATTTTAATTGTACTATACTAAGTGTATATTAAATGTTTTTTGGAACAACTTAAAGTATGTTAAGTGTCATTTTAGAAATACTTAAAGTCAACTTTAAGATAATTGCAATATATTGTAATATACTTGTTGTGTTAAAATGGACCTATTTTAAGTACCTTTACTGTAATTTAAATATACTTTCTTAAATTTAACTTAAAATACCCTTTTGTGCTATACTTGAAGAACAGTTTTCTAAATGTGTTCCCTGAACATTTTTATTAGCATTTCAGCATATTAGTAATTTATTACTAGTATACTCCAAGAGCCACTATTAAGATCTTGGGAAGCTGCTTTATGAAACCATTCAGTATGAGAATAATTAATTATTAATGCATTAAAAATATCTTGCAAAATGCCCTTTTAGCATAATAATAAAAACCAGTAAAAAAAAGTATTTTACAACACACAGACATACAGACAACTAAAAAACTTTAATTTTGTGTACATTACAAAAATTCCTGTGCATTAAAAGGTACAACAGCATGTATCACATCTTGACCAAAATACCTTCAAATAAAAATAAAATCAGTAAAATGATGACATACGATCAGTATTACTGAAAAGTACACATCCCATCATTAATGTTACCCATGGTGGTCCCTCATACGGTTCGGACTCTGGGCACGGCTCAGATGACCTCACGGCAAGCCATCCCACTTCTAACACCATATGCGGCCAAAGGTGAGAGCAGTCACCCTACCCAGATTCAAACACAGGTCTACAGGGAACCAAACATGCAACTTTGACAGCAAGGCCAAAGAGCCAGGCTCGTTGGTATGGCAGTCCGAGCGCTTACTCAACTGTAGTGAAGGTACTCCGTCACAAGCTTACAGTACAAATGGTGGAACCAAACTGAAACTGAAAAATGTCACAATCCTTATCCTTGGAGTGGAGGGTCGGTATCTTTGAGTAGGACTTGTTGCATTTTCTGTGACTGCAGACACTATAGGATTTGGAAACTGCTTTATCACACAGCATCTGTGGAAGGGAAAAGGAAATATTTTGTCTATATCAAAGCAATATTACCTCTAATTAATTAATAACCATTGTCAGATTTTTATTTTGTTTAAAGTTGCTGAAACACAATATGACATCATGTCTAACTGTTCTGATGCTAACTGTTTAGGTTCAGGTGCAGTGTTTCCCACAGAATGACAGTGTAAATGTGGCGGGGGAGGGGGAGACTTTAGCAGGTGATATGCTGAATTTCGCTTGCCTGCCGAGAATTGCATGCACTTCCAAATACTGCTTTTAAACGCTATAATTTTCTTTGTGGGGTAAATGATTCGAAATATTTCATTAACGTTTAGAGTAGTTTAGGGCTGTTGATATTTTATTAGCTACAGTTAGTAGAAGCAGCATTCCTTGAGATTTAGCAATAAATATGTGGTGATAACCGCAATTGATCAATGACACACAGCAAAGTGTCTAAAAAGGTCCTATACAGGTGGATGCAGAATTTGGCAGGACAGATGATGTTGGCTAATTTACCTGCCGAGATATGCGTCCACCTCTTTTCTCAGCATAAAAGGGCGTTACCACACGCGAGGTGCATGTAATTCTCCGCAGGCAGGCAGAATTCGTCACAACACCAGGTGCTGCAAAACATCACCATGATGTCACATCACTATGACATAACATTACCTCGCGGGAGCAAGGCAGTGGCAGGCGCCGAGTCTGACGGCACTGTTTTCATACCCCTCCCCTGCAGTCGCCTGCATCTCACATTAGACTAGCCAATCAAATAAGCTAAAGTCAGCCGCAGTCATCTCGAATGCACCTATAGACTACCAGTTATGAATAGCGTGCTATCTTCGACAGCTGTAGGCCCATTCTAAAGTTAACATAGCTATCCTCATTGGCTAGGCTCCTTACATGCTCGCTAATAACTTTTTTAAAGTGTGCAGGGGTGTTCATGATACCAACCATTCAATTCACAGATGGGTTGTGTACATGCAGGAGAGAGAGAGGGAGCGACCGAGTGAGGGATGTGAATATGTGCTGTGCAGCACTGCAATTAAAATGGGTCTCCAAGTTTGCCTGGGCAGCTCCGGCAGCTCCGCCCCAGTAAAGCCTATGTGTGGGAAACACTGAGGTGAAATGGTTTTCCACAAGGGACCTGTCCCAGTAAATGCACAGTTCTTCCATTACAACATAATCAAAAACATTACATAAACAATACGGTACATTCAGCCAAGGAGCTGTATATGATAAAATGTTACAACAAATAACAAACATACAGACTTGCTTAACAACTGTTCTGTCTACATGTCATTTCACATTAACACAGCAGTCAATTTGTGAAGTACAAAAGTAGCCAATTACTTAATGTATAACAATATTTTAAATAAAATTATTTTTTCACAAGAATATTTGTTTATTTAGTCTGACCCCGTTGACATGTATTGAGAGCAAGAACAGTGATGGTGTGCAGGAGCCAGACACACCTATGAGCACATTGAGCTTGTGAGGGTCCAGCTGGTCCTTTGAGATTTTCATGGCCTCTGAGCCATCTGAGTGAGGCAACGATCCCAGGAAGCTCTAAAACAAAAGAAATGCAGTTGCAAATGAGATAATATTCAGTTAGGCCAGTACTTCCACCTAATTTAGTTCTTCATTTGCATCTCATTATAAACACTAATTCTATTCTTATAGCAAATCTTTATTATTATTCTTTATTTAATTTTTTTTATTTGAGCTAAGGCAGGAAATTCCAACTCTGGGTTTAACAATTAAGTTGGTTAAAGTTGGCAAAGGGTAGGTACAACTTTTAAAAGCTGAATACAGGATCTATGACCATACAAATGGACATAAAGTTGAGCAGTATTTTACATAACATCACAAGCTATTATATCGTGTGGTCAGGCATTGCAGTACATAAAACATTATTTCAAGCGCGTCAAAAACAATTCTCACATACCCGTGTACCCTTTAACACTGCTGTTATAACTGAGTTATTGGTCACTGTAATGATTACCCCTCCATGGTTGCAGTAACAGAAATCTCTAAAAAACAGTGTACCTTTAGAAGATATCCACTTTTGAATAGTCTAACACAGATGCTTAGCTGATGATTCATAGTAGCTTCAGCTAAACTTTAGAATGAATTTATACAAAAATGACTGTGGTGTTGTCTTTACAGACTATATGGGCAGGAATAATGATTACAGTGACCAGTAACTTACTGTAAACACGGACATGTGAGTATTAAGGTAGACTATAAAAATGTGAACTTATTCTTTACACACACATGCACAGGCCTGCCTTGTTATAATCTCATGCATAAAATTCCAGCAACAGGTTACTGAGATTTTTGATTGTTCCCGAAATTTTAGTAACATTAAAAACTGCCGTACAGCAAAAAGCAATACATTACTGTAACATTAACTGCGTTTCTTTTGTAACGCGTTACTCCCAACACTGTTTAAGGCAGAAGAAAGTTGCTGTCTCGATTATGAAGCTATTCAAATGCTAACTAACGTTAGCTAACGTTAACAAATATATTAATTCATGTGCTAGCATTAGCTTATGCACACCAGAACTATCCACCAAGTGAAATATTTCCAAACCCAGAGTGAGCTCAACTTTAGTTAACTTACACAATTGTGTTGTCTTGCTAACAATAATAAACTTACCAAGAAAGATGATTTTTGCTGGCAGTATCTGTGTCTGTCCTCTCCTGCTTGTACTTGCCAGGCACACCTCTTTAGCTCTTTTCACATTTAATTCCTGCAGGGAGCTGACTGGATATTCTTCTCTTCTGTGTTCTTTTCTTATTATGTCTGTGGTGTCCACCTTCCAAGTCTGAGTCGGTAAAGTAAAACAAAGGAAACCTAAGAAACAAAAGGATTTCTTGCCAGAAATAGCTTCCCTCTCTCAACGCCACGTTCACACGTTAACTTTCGTGAAGCGAACTTTTACGTTGTGTGATTGGGTCGTCGATTTGAAAACCTTGATTCTGATTGGTCCAACTGAATGCACTGCGCTAGCAGGCTGGGCGGGAGGACACACTTTTCCCCTGTGTACACATGTGTTTACTGTTTACAAACAGATACAAGTATAACTGCATTATGATTTAAAGTATGCTTATTTCTATATGTGGTTGTTTGTTAAGTTAACAACAAGTGCTGCTTCCTTCTAGGCTAGGTTACCCTTATGAAAGAGGTCTCTGATCTCAACTAGCTATTTACCTGAAAAAAAAGAAAAAGAAAGAAATGAAAAAAAAGTAATATGCTTTTGAAAATATATTTTAATGTTAAATAAAATATGTTTTAAAAATCATACTTCTGGAAATCAGGCTGAAACATGTGGCAATTACATAAATAATTACAATATTTTGCAGTAGCCTACACAATGAAGCATGTTTGGCATAAATATATTTTAACCCACTAAAAGTGTAATTGTTTAACAATGTACTTCCACAAAGTACACCTAAATAGTATTTACTAAGAGTTAAATTAATATATTTTTAATAAATAGACTAAAATGTTGTAAAAATATACTTTTATTTAAGCATATTTATTAAAAGTTTAATTAAGTATATATTTATTACCAATTTATTCAAAGTATACTTTTGAGAAGTATGTTAAAGCTCAGGAGAATATATCTTTAATATACTTGTATATGCATGTTAGAAGTACGAATGTATTATAAGCATGCTATGTGAATTTCAAGTATATTTTCAGTGCCTTTAAGAGCACTTCTTTTTCACCTGGGGAAACCCAAGGATAAGGACAAGGAGGGGGAAGAAATCCTACCAGTGGCTAGAAAAGGTTGGACTAAAGAACAACACAGAAGCACTAATCATGGCGGCACAAGAACAGGCACTCAGGTACAAGATAGAGAGGCTGGGGTCTTCCACACCAGCCAGGACCCCAGGTGCAGACTGTGCAAGGATGCCCCTGAGACAGTACAGCACATAACAGCAGGGTGTAAGATGCAGGCCGTACATGGAACGCTATAACCAGGTAGCTGGAACATCTGCCAGAAGTATGGGCTGGAAGGTCTAAGGTCAAAATGGGACACACCTACTAAGGTAGTTGAGAATGAACAAGCCTAGATCCTGTGGGACTTCAAGATCCAGACCGACAAACTGGTGGTGGCTTACCAACTGGACATTGTGCTGATCGACAAACCGCAAATGAAAGCAGCAGTGATAGATGTGGCAATCCCAAGCGACAACAACATCAAGAAGAAGGAACGCAAGATCTCGAAAAATACCAAGGGCTGAAAAGATGTGGAAAGTGAAAGCAACAGTGGTGCCAGTGGTAATTGGAGCACTGGGGGCTGGGACCCCCAAACTGGGAGAGTGGCTACAGCAGATTCCAGGTAAAACATCAGAGGTCTCTGTCCAGAAGAGTGCAGTCCTAGGAACAGCCAAGATACTGCGCAGAACCCTCAAACTCCCAGGACCTGAGGGGTGAGAGAGGGATGGAGATATATATATATATATATATATATATATATATATATATATATGTGTGTGTGTGTGTATATAACAAAATTATAAACGCAACACTTTTGTTTTTGCCCCCATTCATCATGAGCTGAACTCAAAGATCTAAGACTTTCTCTATTTACAAAAGGCCTCTTTCTCTCAAATATTGTTCACAAATCTGTCAAAATCTCTTAGTGAGCACTTCTCCTTTGCCGAGATAATCTATCCACTTCATCTGTGGCATATCAAGATGCTGATCAGACAGCCAGGGTATTGCCTTAGGCAGGCCACAATAAAAGGCCACTGGAAAATGTGCATGTCGCAAGTTTTGAGGGAGCGTGCAATTGGCATGCTGACTGCAGGAATGTCCACCAGAGCTATTGCCCATGAATTGAATGTTCATTTCTCTACTATAAGTGATCTCCACAGGCATTTCAGAGAATTTGGCAGTAGACAGAGGAAAACAAAATCATCCTCACTGCTTGAAGACTCCATTTTGTACTGTTTCACGTGACAAATGAATTAACACACATTTAACAATTATACACAATTTTTAAAATGAGGGTTGCGAAAGGACCTTTAATCCTGATCAAATGGTAAAATAATGATAGAAAGATTTTAACTAGGTGCTTGGAGCATGAAACGCTGTTAGCATAATTTAAGATGAAATCCCACAATCTAACAAATTATTTCATTACATAACCTAATTCAAATGTGCTAATTCAGTTAGTGTCTTCTCTACTGCTATACTTGTCCTACTGTTATATTTTGCATTGATATTATCGTACTCTGTTGCACTAGTTGATAGTATAATATCAGAACATTTATGTATGTATGGTCAAATGATCAACAAAGAATGCAAACCCTGGTTTGTGTAAGGGAAAACGTGGAAAATATGGACAGTTACAAATGTTTTCAGTGCCCTTATTTTGGTGACAATTAATAAAAATTATCACGATAATCACCAAGTGTTTAATTATATTTATACAGTTAAGAGCAGCTTCATGAATATTATAGGAAAGAAAGCACATTATGTAATACACATGTAAACTAATGTTAATTCCACCAGCAAAATTCCCTAACACTAACTATCACTAACACTGGTATTAAATATTCTTACTTTTCTTTTTTTTTGACTAGAATCAGTAGGACACATATCTAAACATAGTGAATGCAAGTTTTCCATCAACAATTAAGTTTTAAATTATATATGTATATACTGTATCTCAAACATAAAGTATATAGTCAAACTATAAAAATAAATAAACCCTATTTTATCAACAGAAAATGTTTTAAATGTTTCAATCTGGCTCTACATCAAAATACCCACAGAGATAGACAATTATGAGAAAGGTTTTTTTTATTTCATACATTTTCAAAAATACCCCGTCACTTAATCAAATGCACTAAATACAAAAAGTGAGTACTGTCTATACTTAATAAATGAGAACCTTAATGATCCTAGTACATTTTGGAAGTAATATTATTTTAAGTCAGTCTTTAAACAAGGGTATAGTACTATAAGTGCAGCTGTATCAGTCACAAATAATATTATTACTGCTCTGGGTGATTAAAAAAAGTATGTGTTGCCCTGTTTATTGAGTAATCAAAAGCATTTGATTCAGTGGATCATGGTCTTCTCCTGCAAAAAAATAAAACATACAGGTATTAGTGTGCTGTGCTGAATTGGTTTTTGAACAATTTGACGTGGAGACAGTTATAACTCTGCTCCTCTTAACAGTAAAGTCGGTTGTCCCTGAAGGATCTACCTTTATACCAATTTTTTTTTTCTATTTATATAAATAATCTTGGTGTAGGATTAAATCCACTACATTTATGAGCTACGTTTTTTATTTTTTATTTAAGTGTTTTCCTTTTTCAAAATGTCAGCCCAAAGTACCTTTTTATTAGTGTTAGACAATGGTGATGTCATTTATTTGCATCGATCTTCCTCTCTTTTGAATAAACTGGATGTAGCCTATGATGAAGCCTTGTGGTTTGTAACTGGTGCAAACATATGTATGCATCATTATAACTTAGATGAAATGGTTTAATGGACTTTACTGTATATAAGGAGAAAAAAAACCATACGTTCATTTTATTGCAAAAGCTTTACTTATCGCAGTACATATTAGAGGTGACCCCGAAAAGTCGAACATTCGATAGGAGGAGGCTGATTCAACAGTCGAATCTTCGCAGCGCCATTATGAAACGATGATCATACCATTTTGGCTATATAGGGGTGCTCAATGTCTGATTTTACACAGAACTACCAGTTTTCTGTCAGTAGGTTAATATACAGCCTATTATGATATAAATATCAACATATAATGCTGTAAATAAACATGTGAAAAGAAAGAAGCTTTTAATAAATCTTTTTAAAATGTGTGAATAAATGCAAAATTGTAACCCTAACCATTAAGGTAAGAGGCGTCAGTGTGCATGTGTGTGTGTGTGTGTGTGTGTAGTAGAAGAGGGAGAGAGACAGAGCAACAGATGGGCAGAGCTGCCGGCCTGTGGGTTTGAAACTTAGTTGCCCTCCCTCCAAAAGTTATTTATCAGTGTTACAACAAAACCAAAGACTTATAAGTTATGTAGGCTACATGTACCGTAAACATGTAACGGTTACATTCTGGATGTAAAAAAACTAAACTAAAATGTAATCACAGTTAATATAAAAAATAAAAAGGTAATAAAACAAAACTATTTACTTTTAAAACAAAACATACCCCTCAATCCATCGCCATGGTAGCGATCCGTCAATCACAAGGTAGTCCTGCTCAAAAGCATATGCTGCTTTCTGGTCTATTTCCCCCTTGGACCATAATTTACTAAATTAACGTCATGCTGTGTTGAAGACTTTAAACTAGCAACTGAGATCATCATAGAGTCATTAGGAAAGTGTTTACTGAGGTAATAATTCAGCTGAGAGAAGTAGCAACATTTTACCATTATTTCTAGTGGAACCGGACTTCTTTTGCAACAAGCAGACGTTAGAGAGAATGCAGTTTTTAGTTACATCTGCATGGTTTCACTTTCAGACCCAGAGGTTGCTGCTTGACTGAGATTAATGTTAGAGAAATAACTTTTTACAACCACTGGTCATGTAACTACAAATCTGGATTGGACAAAGGTGAGCGCCAAGAGCTGCAAAACACTGCAGGATGTTGAGTTTCAAATTTTAAAAAAATACTAATATTTCTGCAGAAACTAATTTTTCCGTTTCTGTGAGTTGCTAGTTCAACTGTTCCGACGTTACTTTTTACTGGCCCCGGGCCATCGGGCCACCATTCGTGATGTCTTGTGAGCTAAGTGTCTCTTCACACCCCTAATCTGGGCCCCTTTGTCCCCACTTTCAAGTGACGCCCTTGCTCAGAGGCCTGTATCTGTTTGTTGGTTATTATTACAGTCCTGTGAGATTTTTTTATTTTTGTTTCACAGCTATTGATTTATTGATCGCTGTCTGGATATGAAGAGAAGTTGCTTCTGAAATAAATTGCCTATCCTAGCTTTAAATTTACATGGACTTAGAGGAGCCATTGTTTCCATGCAACGTTAACTCGACTCCAGTCATGAAAGTCTGCAGAAAAGCTACAGTTGCACACTGCTTTGTAGCCTTATAGAACGTGCAAATTGATTTTGTCCTTTACCCCTGTCGCTTTGATCCGTTTAATACAGTCTAGGTTTGCTCCAGTGGACCGTTTTTTTGGGGTTTTTTTTTACACAGCAATGGCAGATCATGGAGCCTCTTAATAGTTCCCAGAAGTTGCAGCGCAGTACAGTTGCAGCAGAATATTACAGAAGCCCTAAGCCCTCCATTTTCTCGTGATAACGGGATAATTTTCTCGTGATCTCGAGAAACGCTGACCCATA